TATTGAATTAGTGAAAACAATAAGGTGTGATTCAATTGTTTGTTGATTTATCGGTTTTCACGTCGCTCAAGAACATATTTACCAAATTTTCATAGTGTAGCAGATTTTTCAATTGAACATGGGTGATTTAAGGATGTAAAAATCCATATGTCTCGCAACATCACGATTCAGAGAACGAAACACAGACCGAATGTTGTTATTCAACTCAATTTTCTTTCATATCTTTCTCATTTATTTTATGGCAATTCAATTTTGTCCACCCATTTCATATAATACCATATTCGATATACTATAGTATATTCTGATCCTTATGTATTCTTCTTTTTTCGATATTTAATGGAATCCGGATTTTTCCGGATATTCTGCTCACAAACTCCGACATTTTTCTGAATTCCGTACAGAAATTCCGGATATTTCGTAAAAATCCGATGGGAGGTCTACGCATACAATATGCTTTTAGCCATAGCAAAGCACTTCTATAAGCTGTATACTTTACTCTACGAGAAACAACGTGCCAACACAAACTTAACTTGTTTCAATTTGATGTCTTCATTAAAACTTGATGAGTTAAAAGCGACTAGCGAGTTTTTGGTGCCTTTTAAAGATCTAACTGTTCGCCTAGAAGGTGAAAAATACGAGACACTTTCATTGGTTTGGCCAATATTTGCTGAACTGTGGATATATCTTCAGCCAGACACCAGTAATACTGATGAGAGACCAGGGTTTATAATCGAACAGATGAAAGCGGCAGGACTCAATTATTACCTCAGCAGAGAAAAATATTTCAAACCCACATTGAGACACAAAATCGCAACTGTGTTGAATCCACAATTTAAACGATTACCATCGACGTCGGTGTCGCCGCAACAGCTGGAACTTATCCATGACAAAATTGAGTCGATGTGCACAGGTCCAGTTCCTGATGTGTCCCGAACCGCCGGTCTGCAGCAAGAAACTTCCGACGAAATGGTTCAAAAAGTGCACCCATTTTTTCGTTCATTTTGCTCGTTTAATGTAAATCAAAGTGACGTAACGCAAATGTCTGAACTACAGAAGTATTTATTTGAGGACGTAAACTCACTGGAAATCAATGTTACCGATTATTGGAACGAAAATCGATTGAAGTACCCACAACTATTTAAATTGTTCGCCAGAATCAGTTGTATTCCAGCCACATCGTCTTCCGGTGAGCGCATATTCAGTCATACTGTACTAATTGTCAACAGCTTGCGTAGCAATATCTTGCCCAATAATGTTAATAACATTATGATCGTAAATAATTTTTAAAAAAACCAAATAAAATGTTTTACCATGTAAAACGAACTTTTCCGCACATTTTCGGTAGAATGTAAAATATAGATCACTTGGATGGAATGTTGCAATTGTTAAGTGATGTTACCATAACCATGAAGGACCCGGATGGTATTTATTTCATCTTCGTTCCAAGACTTTTCATATGATACCCATATTGACTATACCTATGTAGAAATGGTATGAAGTCCATCATGGTCATCATGATGGACGGATATAGTGTCCATGTCCACGCCCATTTTAAAACCTTTCATATGACACCCATATGACATATGTCAACTATTTATATAAAAAATGCTGTTAAGTGGTGTTAACATAACCGTGATGGACCGGGATGGTGTTTATGTTCATCTCCGTTCAAAGACCTTTCATATGATACCCATATTGACTATACTATGTAAAAATGGTATGAAGTCCATCGTGGTCGACCATCGTGTTATAACACCATTTAACATCACTTACCATGGGAAAATCGTGTAAAAACAGTAAAAAAAAATAAAAAGTTTAAAAAAAAAATTCAAAAAAAATAGAAAAAAAGTCAATCATGGTCGGCCATCGTGTTATAAATCATTTAACACGGATTAACATGATAAAATCGTGTTAAAACAAATCAAAAATCCGTTCTATGATAACAAGAAAAAAAAAAATTTTCAAAAAAATCCAAGGGGTGAAATTCTATGACATCCGAAAATTACCAGATGAACTAGTCCAATTTGGCCCAACTGGCCCAACCATCCAAGGTATTTACTAATAGTGACTCCTGGCCAAATTTGAGCGAAATCGTTTAAGCGGTTCGAAAGTTATCGTGGACACAACGAAAAATCGTAGTTTTTGGGCCATCATGGTCGGCCATCGTGTTATAAACCATTTAACACTGCCTAATATTATAAAACTATGTGAGAACGATACAACAATCCACTCTAGGTTGATGAAAAAAGACATTTTTTTTCGACATAATCCAAGGGGGGACCCTTGGGTGATTTTCTATGATGTCCCAAAAGTACCAGATGAACTGGTCCAATTTGGCCCAACTTTTGATACATCCAAGATATTTACTAATTGTGACTCCTGGCCAAATTTGAGCGAAATCGCTTGAGCGGTTCGAAAGTTATCGTGGACACAACAAAAATTAGCACACTTTTTATCACGTCGATCGCTATACTTTTCTCACACACTTCGTGTGCGGAAAAGAAAACGTTATCATGTTATAAAATATAAATCATACGAAATGAATTTAATCATGTGTTGTTTGAATATGACTTATTAATTCACTCTCAGAAAAAAACGGAACAAATGTTTCGACTCGTCGTTCTAATAAATGGGATAGATCAGTGCCTCCGTTAGAGCCGATGCAACGATGCGGCGCATCGAGGCGCATTAATTCATGTCAAATAAAAATTTCAGGCATAAATGTCCGCATATGACACTATCAAAATTTTGGAAGCGTTCGTAATTAAAATAAATGGTACAGTCACCTTCAATATACTTTATAAACTCACGGGGTGGTTGTAAATCCCCGAAAGAATCATAGTAGTGGCAGACCTTATCACTCTTTAAGTAGCTCACCCAATGGGTCCCAAAACCAGATTCGCGGTCGAGATTAATTACACCACACTCGTATTTATTACAACAGTTTGGTAGGCTGTCCCTCATAAAAACACCGCGAAAGTATGGCAAATATTTTCCAAATTTTAAAATATCAAAGTTTGTGAGGGGGCGCTTTATATCATTGAGGAGCTTGTTTACACGTTTTTTGAATATGGTGAGAGGAAGAGGCCCAATCCTTTCTTATATGGCATTAAATAAAGCCCATTTCCAGATTTCATTTTGCTCCCCAACGCAATAGCTTCCATGGTTTGATTATGGCGCTGTGCTTCATTCAAATCCTTTTTTGCTTTATTTGCTGAAATAACTGCGTTTGCAACGCCAGCAGAGCCCCCCATCAATGCGCCTAATGCAGAAAGACCAGCAAAAATAGGTATTAGTGGCAACGCTCCACCTATTTTCGGAACGGGGATTATTCGTGGGAGCCCATTTTGCGCCATTTCCTTGGAAATTCGATGACTTTTTATAATGGTTTTCGCTGCTTGCACGGCTAATTTTGCAGCATCTGGAACTGTTCTCGGTTGCCCCTTATGAATTTCACTTTTCGCATTTTTTTATTGCCTTTTTAAATACCTGTGAAACTGATGCCCTTTTCTGCTTCGTACTAGTTTTGGTG